TCCGATTACTCGATTAATCGTAAGAATAATCGATAGATTACTCGATTACTAAAATATTCGTTTACAACAGCCCTAATTATATGTGTAAAAATTTCTGGAAAGTTATTTAATTAGAGACATGTATCTTTGCAATATTTGTCCACTGTTTAAAAGCCAGGGAAATACAGAGTAGTGTGAAGATGGAATAAAAACCATCCCATTTTCTGATCTGGATATTGCTATGCTCCAAAAAATGCAAAAATCAGAAAATAAATAAATAACACAGCCTTTTGTCACAGATATGTTTACCGACTAAAAACATTTATTGAATATGACCAAACCAAACCTTCTGTGACGGTAAATATCGAAGGCTTTAATCCTTTTTAAGTTTAAGTTTTTCACTAGGGAACAGCAAATTGGTAACCTCAAACTACAACACCCACAAGCAGTCACTAAACATAGCTTTGAAAATGTCTCAATTGAGAGAATCTAATATTTGGGTTACACACTTATCGGCAGGCACCGAAACCAGTGGGGTTTGCATCATAGCATCAACAGCTCTTTGAATTTGGAATTTTATACATTTAAATGTTCGCCTGAAAATGAAGAAACTATCTCAAAAATATATCTAGTTCCAAATAGGCAAAAACAATGATTGTTTCAGAACCCCTGAATCCTGCCAAAAGTCTACATTTACATCAGATTTCCCATCAGTTATATTGGCATAAAGAGACAAAATCACATAAGGAAATGACTTGCACAAAATGTTTTGACTATTCACATATTTCATTCTTAATGTAGCAAAACAGTGGAGGAAGTTACTATTAAGCTGACACTCATGTCAACACAAACTGGAGGTGGCAACAGAGCAGAAAATAGGGTCTCAAGACTGCAGTGGAGAAATCTGTAGGAGAAGTGCAACCATTTCATGTGAAAAGAGCCGTCCAGCTGAGCAGATAGAGATCAAAGAACTGCCGGGGTTCTGGCTGAATGTTCGCTCGCAAGCCTAAAACTAGCTTTTCTAATCACCTGTGCTGTCAGTAGGAGGGTCAGTATAAAATTTATTAATCCTCAAACAAAGAAAAAGGTAACAATCGTTTGTCTGCAACTGAAAAACTGTCTGCATTTTATTATTATTTTTTTTTTTATGTTAAAAGTTTAGGGCTCAATTTACTGTCTGAATGTAACTTTGCTTTTAAACCATGCAGAGTCAGTTGGAAATGTAAGAATGAATAAGTTAGTGGTGGGGTACAAGTTCCCAAAACTGTGACAAAAAGCAATATGCTGCAAAATGTTTGGAACAATCCCCTGAGGCTTGAAAACTAATCTCTGACTGCTATGGATTCAGTGGGTGGTAATACGATTTAAGCCTTAAAGTGTTAATCCTTAAGATCCTTAAGACACTCAATGAATTGCCGTTTTGCGGCATAATGTCTGTATGCTAATCACCACCTTTACTGGCAAAAACCACTATTGATGAATCCAAACAGGAACTCTGATGTGATCTATGAAGGCTGCAGAGAAGAAGCCAACAAACTGAAAATTGGGTTACCAAGTTTTCAAGTGTGGAGCAAAAATTTTCTTTTTGTAAAAATTTTTCCTTTAAAAAGAAAATGCTCTCATTTGCTCATTTACAAATACATTTTTTGAAAACCTTCCATGTGACCTACTACTTGGTCAAAGGTCATTGCAAAAGTTTTAAAAATATGATGGTTTCCAGGATTAATCCTGAAAGTAATTACATTGGAAGCAATGGAGAGAAATGTGTTTAAATTTGACATTCTAAAGAACAGTGCTGGAAGCAGCAATAAAAATATCACTCCCACGATTTATCCAATAACAATACTTCCTTTGTAGCAAAGACACAGCAAGAAAGTACAAGAAAGCCAGTGGGTGTTGTAACAGTCATAAAATCTCTTCAAAACATGCTAAGGACAAGAAAAACAACTCTTTTAACATATATTTGCTTTGTTTAGGGATTTCAAGCCATTTGTTTAGTTAAAGAACTTCTGGTAAATTACTAGCTTCAAGCTGCACTGTAGGAATTTCTGTAGACTGATTTTCACATGTCTGTTCTAAAGTTCTAAATTATTCTTCTGACAAATATTTTTATACATGTACAATGTTTTCCACAACTGACACCCACCTTGTAGGTATGTGTGCAATGTCTTAAGAGAACCATCTTTTATACAACATATGAAAAATCCAGGCACTTTTATTTAGTAATGTCTGTGATATTGTTTACTTGATTCGTGGAATTACGAAGTATTTTTAACAACAGTTAGATGCAATCCTCATGCCCGTCAACCACTTGAAAAAATACTTTTCTGTTTTGACATCACAGATATAAACACGGGGAGCTGGCTAAAATCTACTGAGATGTTAAATAGAAAAACAGAACCAAAAATTAACTTTTCAATAATAAATGCTATTGTAGGTCGTTTTGCAAAAAATCTAAACATAAATAAGTGGAGAGAGAAACACTTTATGCTACCTGTTAAGTCAGGTGAAGGATCTGTAATGCTTTGGGCTTATTTATTTATGTTTTTAAGTGTGTATGGCATCACAAACAATTTGAAGTACCAGGGGATTTTGTGTCTAATTGTGTCTTAATTGTGTCTTTCAGAATAATGGTTCTATACATATGGCCAGATCAGAAGGGAACTGACTCATCGGACTCAGGCTTTTAGCAGTCATAACAGCAGGAGTGCCAGTAAGTGTGGCATCAGTGATTTCGCTAAAAATATATCTCCTAGTATGGGATTTGGCTCAGTTTATGATTAAATATTCTAAAATTAAATTATTTTTTCTGTAATTCACAAGGGATTATGCCACCGCTACAAAATTTAAAAGGCTTTTGATAAGTCTTTACATTTTGCTTTCACTGGCTGGCTTAGCACTAAGGTTCGAAAAAGTGCTAGACTATATTTTTTTTAAAAATAAAGAAGCAAACCATATTTGATGATCCTTGCGATTACTACTATCAGAACATTACCAAAAATACAACTAAATACTTAATTCAACGTAACTGTCGTAACATTACTTTATAAATATCAACAATAGGATGACTAATACAGTAGATTATACAAGAATGCCATAGTTAAGTAATATTGTCTGCTCATGTTATTTTATTTTAACTAAAATGTACCCGAGAGTCATACAACCATCCAATTGAAGAATTCAGTTAAGCATGCTTTACAAATCAGTCCTAGATAAACATTCTGACCTTATCAGTATATGGTTAGAGAGTTTACCTGTTCAGAGGATCAACTACGATTGCTCTAGGGTGTGACATGTTTCCTTCCAACAGCGTCTTTCTGGTTTGAGAGGCTCTCTCCAGCCTGGCAACACTGATCGTCTTCCTGTAGCCATCGTTGGTCCAGTATAAATTATTTCCAATCCAGTCCACAGAAATACCCTCAACATTATCAAGCTCTGGAACAAAATCAGCACCACAAAATACGATAGACATTTCTCAATATATATATATATATATAAATATTTTTTTTTTTTTTTTTTTTTGGTAACACTTTATTTGAAGGGGGTTGAATAAGACTGACATGACACTTTCATAAACATGACATAACACCTGTCATGAACATGAATAAGCCTTCATGAATATTTATGACTGTTGTCATAAAGCGTCATTTGGTTAATTATGACACTTTTAATACAAAGTTGACATTATTCAAAATGTCTTTGTTATGACAACTTGACATTAACCAGGAAATCATTACTGTTTAAACTTTACCTTTAATAACATAAAGTTACCTAATTTTTAAAGTGCAATCAGTAATACTTTTATAACAAATTTACATCAGTAATGATTTCTTGGTTAATGTCAAGTTGTCATAACAAAGACATTTTGAATAATGTCAACTTTGTATTAAGTGTCACAATTTACCGAATGACGCTTTATGACAACAGTCATAAATATTCATGAAGGCTTATTCATGTTCATGACAGGTGTTATGTCATGTTAATGAAAGTGTCATGTCAGTCTTATTCATCCCCCTTCAAATAAAGTGTTACCATTTTTTTATTTCTTCTGAGATTTTTCAAAACATGCATTAATGAAACAGATATAAATGTGGTCATAGCTTTTTCATTGTACATAATCATAACCTAAAAATAGTTGCAAGTGATTTTTGCTTTGCACTTAAGAAGCAGACTCATTTATATCCCCTTATCATCCCATATACTATATGTGTGAGATCTGTATTGCTTAAAAACTAGAAAAGATATAAAAAAGATATTTGAAGTGCAGTTTTTTTAGTAGCGCAAATAGTGCAAAAGCTATTTTATGACCATAGACATAACAGAGAATAGGGTCTTTTAAAAAGTATAATGAACTTGACTTACAAAGGAAAAAAGAATCCAGAAGATACAAAAAAATAAAAAAATAAAAATTGACTCACCATCTTTGAGAATTGTCTCCCTACTACTTCCATCTATGTTTTGACGGCCAATGAGAAAACTGGTGGTGTCAGCGAAGTAAATGTGTCCCATTTCTGCAAAGTAGTCTATGGCTCGAGGGTTGACAAGGTCTTCGATAGGTACCATGTGCTCGTCACCAGACTTGATGTTCATATCCAGGCCACGGATGACCCCAGGACGTCCCTTACCATAGAAGAGGAAGAAATCGTTTTTGGGCTCTACAAAGCAAGAAAGGACAGACCTGTTTTTTACTGTTATTGTCAATTAATTGGTCTAATTCATCAGTGCTGATCCATGCATTAAACCCACTTAACAACCACATTGTTCTTATATGTTTTGCAAGTCCAGAGCCATCTATTCACGCTAATGGAGCCAGTAATCAGTGCCAATGACTCTACTCACCACCCTCAATCACGCCCTCACTGCAAAACTGCCACGAGAATAAAAGTAATGGATTGCTTTAGCAAACATTCAATTTCAATGCTTACCTTGGCTATGAATAGTGTTTCTAATCTAAATAAGATGGTGTTTCTGTAAGGAAAACAAACAGAAGTCTGGAGCTGAGGGAGTTCCTCAGTGGCATCTTTGTGTCGCGTGGGGACTGTGTATACTCGAAACCTGGGGGAACCTCTAGAGAGGAAGAATAGGGAATGAAGTAGGGCTTCCACTGAGGGAAGCAGACCTCTCTCCAGTCTCACCTCCTACCCAAGAGACTAGGAAGCTGGAGGTGAGGACCACACATGCCTCAGTTCAATTTATCATTTTTGTAAGACAGAGACCAACTAACCAGGAGGCAATTAAGCACTGCTAGAGACCCAGATATCAAAGTCCAACAGTGACTGCTGTATGAAAAACTACATCATTTAATAAAAAATCTCATTATGCTTTAGGAGATGAAGACCAATAGAGAGAGATAGTTGATGTCATCAGAACATCCACTAGAGAGGAATAAATCAAACATGTCATGCAAAAGCTCCCAAAGCTCCATTACTCTGATCGAAATCTTGTAGGCGCCCAAATTGTGTCATCAATTTGATCTTCGGCTTTTATTGTCATCTACACAATGTCCAACAATTGATCAGAGCAGCCAACAAACGCAGGCAAACTTAAACCCTCATTATGGCAATAATCTATCAGGCGTCCCAACAGGTCGATAGGAGAACGTCACACTCGCATAAAGCTGTTTTCGCCTGCCCTCATCTTTATAACTGTCAGCCCAAGGCTCTGCCTGCACATAGCCAGCTCTATTATGACACATGACCTTCACAGGGACAAACAACAGTAATCTTGGGCTGAATTTTCTTATTTATACTTAACAGGAGCCATGGTCATAAAAAGATGACAAAAAAAGATGCATCAAAATGCTTCCATCCATCCATCCATCCATCCATCCATCCATCCACCCATCCATCCATCCATCCATCCATCCATCCATCCATCCATCCATCCATCCATCCACCCATCCATGTCACACTACATTACTTAGGAATTTAATTAACATTAGTATACATTATACCAATAATGAAATTCATAGACAGGTGTTTGGCTGTTATGAATGACAAAAAGCCAATACAAAAAGGCAATGAAAACTTTAATCTGAAAACAACTGCAAACAGAGGTGGGACTGATGACTTGCATTATTTTCATCAGATGATCATAGTTTAAAGCTACAGTTGAAGCTTGGTAGAAAATCTTTCTGATACCCTCATGAACTGCCTGCTGCTCTTCATATCTTCATTCAGAGAAACGTTTGTGGTGAGAGAGAGAAAAAATACATGATTTTTTTTATGTGCTTTGTGCAAACATTTACTGTTAGAAGTTGTGTCAGGTTGTTACAGTAAAATGCGGGAGAGAACTCTAAGAAGCAAGAGTCGGTGCTTTACAGAAAAATGACAAGGAACCTCCACAGACTGCAGAAAGACCAACTGAAACATAGAAAGTCACTTTATTTACTTTTTTTGCATTGAAATATTTAGAATCAGACAATTTTCACAGCCTGCTGGAGGCCTCAGGCAAAATGTACCATACTTAAATTGTGAAAAGTGCACAGAGACACTGCATTTCTAACTAGCAATGCCAACGCAGTACTAACTGTTCTAAACATGATTACAAACTGATAACATTTTTGGAAAGCAGTTTAGAACATTTGCACCAATATGACTGCTTGAGGACTCAGCCAAAAACATGAGGAATGGACACACCCATTCTTTTTCAGTATGGGTTTGTGCATCCATGGTTGGGCTGGTGACCTGTCCAGGGTGATGACCCCGCCTCTCACCTGTTGGCCACTGGAGATGGGCACCAGCACTCCTGGTGACCCCACTAGGGATAAAGATAATGGATGGATGCCAACGATTGCAGTTTTCTGGCCAATCACAGATTACCAATCTTTAAAAAGCCTGACCTGCTGGTTCCAATTTTGGCCGATGCCATTTTTTTTTTGTCTGAAATGTCGCTAAATATGGCAAGAAAGTCACTGAGTTGGTAATAGCAGTTGCTGCCTTCAAGTTTGGGGCAATTATTATTTTTAGGGGGCACTTACTTTTAATACATGTGGACCATCTTTTTTTTCCTCCTTAATAAATGGAATCCTCATTTGAAAGGTGTTTTTAGTGTTCTGGTGAAAAAAATAATCAAATCTATAGGTACATATTTTTTCACTGCACTGTACTTTTCCAGAAAATAT